CCTTCACTTGAGCTTTAGCTTGAATTTGATCTTGGTGTACTGTGAGGAGAGACTTGTGGTGATATCTCTCCTTCATCCCCATTTGCAGTCTGTGTGGCATCACCATTCTTAGATCTTTCTCCACTTATGTGAACAGTGAAAGTGGTGTTAGTATCAACCTGTTCCCCTCCTTGATTTTCCTGCCATAGCCAGCCTTTTTCTTCTTCAAAAACTACACCTCTGCTTATAATAACCCTCTCTCTTCTAGGATCTAACAGTCTATAAGCTTTAGACCCTTCTTCATATTCCAACAGGACAATCATTATACTCCTATCATCAAGCTTTGCAGAGTGAGGTGAGGTAACTTTAGCATGAGCAAGACTCCAAACACGCGCAAGTGCTGTACATTTGGAGTCCTCTCATACCAAGCCTGATAAGGAGTCATGTCTTGCACAGTTTTAGTTGGAGCTCTGTTGAGGATATAGACTGAGGTCTTCACAGCCTCCCCCCAAAACTTAGCTGTTACACCCTTGCTCTTCATGATACTTCTTGCCATCTCCAAGAGTGTTTGATTCCTTCTCTCAACAACTCCATTTTGCTGAGGTGAGTGTGTTGTGAGGTGTCTCTTTACTCCTTCATCATCACAATATTGCTTGAACTGTGAGGAAGTAAACTCACCCCCCTACCAGTTCTGAAACACTTTAGCTTTTTTGCACCTTCATTTTCAGTTAATTTCTTGAATCTTTTGAAAGCATCAAAAGCTTCATCTTTGCATTTCAGTAGGTGTATCCACATAAAGCGTGAGTAGTCATCAACAAGTAACATAAAGTACTTATTACCTCCAGGTGTAAGTGGTGAGATGGGTCCACACAGGTCTCCATGTACCAACTCAAGTTGTTGAGTTGCTCTTAATACTGCTCTATTAGGAAATGGTATTCTGTGTTGCTTACCCATGACACATCCATCACATAATTTGTTTATGTGAGTGATCTCAGGTACTCCTTCTACCATCCTCTTGGGTGTCAGTTTCCTTAAAGCTTAAAAGTTCAAGTGCCCATATCTAGCATGCCACAACCATGCTTGATCTGCCATACTCAACATTAGACAAACCTTTTGTGCATTCTCCAATCTTGCAAAAAAAAGTTTGTTGTCCTGTCTCTTCACCTTGATCATGAGCCTGTCATTGTGGTCATACACTCTTAGAAAGCCACCTTCAATGACCACCCGGCTTCCACTTTCATCTAGTTGACCAAGGCTAATGATGCTACTTTGTAACCTGGGTATATAATACACATTGTTTAAAACTAGGTGCTCCCCATTCTTGCGCTGAAGGAGTACTGAGCCCAGACCATGTATGTTTATGACTGATCCATCACCAAATCTCACTTTACCATTGACAGAAGAGTCAATGGCTGTGAAACAATTTCTATCTCCTGTCATGTGATTACTTGCACCAGTATCAAGGTACCAACCTGTCTCTTTACTTACATTCTCCTTCTTTGCTTTCTTGACATCTGAGATTTGTGATCTAGTCAGTTCACAGGTTTCTATCATTAAGAGTGCAGGTTCTTCATGTTCCTCCTTTTCAGTTAGATTTACCTGACCATCTTTTTCTTCTTCAGGGCATTCAGAGGCAAAATGCCCCATTTTCCCACATGCATAACATTTGATTTTGGATTTATCAAACTTTCTTTTCTGCTGGGGTTCCTCTCCTCTACTTTGAGAGGTACTGCCTCCTCTTCCTCTTCCCCGGCCTCTGCCTCTTCCTCCTCTAGAACTCCCTTGATCTCTAGTGTTCTCCTTTTGACTTTTGTATTCTTCTCTTGCCCTCCATTCAGCCTGGGTGAGCAGAACAGTCTCATCCTCCTTTGAACCAAAGCTTTGAAGCCTTGCTTCATGAGCCTTGAATGAACCAATGACCTCCTCTACAAGCTTTGTTTTCAAGTCACCAAACTCCTCAATGGTAGAGGCAATTTGCAGAGATTTAGGTGAAATAGATCTCAACAGTTTCTTGACTACCACCTCTTCTTCTACTTGGTTACCCAATCCCCTCGGTTTGCTTACAATTATCTAAAGTTTTTGTGCGTAATCATCAACATTATCACTATCAGTCATCTTCATGGCTTCAAAATCTCTCCAAAGAGCTTGGGTTCTCACCTCTTTCACCCTTTCAGCCCCAAGGTTCATGGTCTTCAACATGTTCCAAGCCTTCTTGGCAGTTTTCTTTGCCCCCAACTGCAACAAGGTATCCTCGCTTATACCTTGATAAATGGCTGCAAGAGCCATCTTATCCTTGCGTGGTTCAATAACCCCTTCGGCCTCAACTGCATCCCATACCCCTTGAGCCATCATGAACACTTCCATTTTGATAGCCCATGCAGCGTAATTACTTTGGGTGAGCATAGGATATTTGAGGGAGAAGCTGTCTCCTTTCTCATGTGGTTGCTGATCTCCTCCATCCCTGGACATGATGGGTCGTTTCCCTGAGATCTCTAATACCAAATGTTGGAAAAACACTCCACTCTATACAACAATACCACTACGTAATGGCTTAGATATTAATCAAGGTATGGAAGCAAAGCAATAGAGTATAGATCTTTTGTGATGTGCAATCTTTCATTCATTCTTTCTATGGGGAAAAATCCATTGCATTCGGATGAAAAAACCCCATATGCACACCTACTAAAATACTACATGCAAAGCATCACTACTAGAATTTCAGCTATTTGCTGCGGTTGTTTTTGCTTATTTGCTGCGGTTTTGAACCGCAGCAAATGAAGGAGCAGCAAAAAGTAGAGTGAGGTATTTGCTGCGGTCATGAACCGCAGCAATTAGTTCTTTCAGAATTGCAAGCATGACTTATTGCTCCGGTTAAAACCACAAATTGCTGCAGTTAAAACCGCAGCAAATAGCATTTGAACAGTAACATATTTTTATTTTTTATAAATGAGAATTTGAGATGGAATTTTTGTTTCCTGATGGCTGATACTACCACATCTAATATTTACAACAAATTGAATGTTGTTTAGGCAATAAGTAACTCTTTATTTTCAAATTTCAAATCTTGCTATCACATCAATACAAACTCAAACCGTAATTTACAAAGAATTCAGTTACATCACTAAGGTTAGTACAAAACGAATGAAATACACAATGCCAACTTGAATTAAATCTACCATCTAAAGTATATAATCTTCAATAAATTATCAAGAATATATATGTATGGCCAATGGATGACGAACTTCTATCATTTAATCACTCGATAAAGCTCTTCTTTGGGTGCTCCCGTAAACCTAAAATATTAAACAAAAACTATAAGCTATATTAGAACGTGAAAACGAGTTAGTACATAATACATAAAAAAATAGACTTGAAAACTAACCTGAGTGTTGGTGCTCTCTTTTGTTGCAGTGAACAAAATCATACTATCTGGACAAAGCATTCAATTTTTTTAGACTTAAGAATTGCAGAGAGAACATATAGCTTACAAAATACAACAAACTAGAAATAGATTTTTTTAGAATGACGTTTTTTTATACAACAAACTAATTTTGCAAAATCACAACTTCATACAAACATAAACATCAATATTAATTTATGAATTCATAGAAATATAAACTTTCATAAAATGAGAAATAATTAAAATGAATCAATTGAAATGATAAAAATATTTAGAAATAAACCCCTAATATGAGAAGAGGCAGAAGAAGCGGAAGAAGCGGCTGAAGGTGCAGCGCCAACTCAACTTGGGCTATGGTGGTTTTTTTGTAGGATGGCAACTCAACTTGGGCTAGAGATGGCGAGTGGCGACGGCGGCTTGTCTTCTAGACTATGGGAGATAACAATGGCAACTTCTTTCTCGTAAGGTAGCGGCATAGTTCTCACCATTTTCTTTTCTCAAAATGAAATGAAAAACATGTAAGAATCTGCTGCGGTTCTCTTTTTATGTAATTGCAAAATATAAAGGATGAAACGCATACAGTAAGAAATATAACATTCAGAGAAATCAATACGATTTAGATTCTCTTTTTTCAAGGCACACCAAACTTTATGAAAAAGGCATATAGAAGAGTTAAAGTATATTTGACCTACAATCAAGTCGATGAAAATAAGACTACTAAAGACAAAACTTAAAATGAAATACAAACCTGGATAGCGTTGAGGGCTTTAAAGTGATTACAACAATCTTCAATCTCTGCACAAGTAGAATTTTCGCAAGCTTTTCTCACACTGATACGCCTTCCCTCCGTAACTGTCTTCTTCGAATTTATATACACTAGATATAGCACAATCGGCCGCCTTTTGATGTTCTGTACATTCCCATCCATTTTTCCTACTCAAATAAACTGCACACACATATACTAAAGTTAATATAGCAAGCATCTAAGTTCAAAAAAATCAGAAATGCAGCAAGAACACAATAAGAAATAAGTAATGAGTTCAAATGATTCTTTTAGTGTAGCTAAAGGACTACATTTTGAATTCCACTGATCCAAAGAAAATAAGAAATATCTGGATACAACATAATTTGAATTAAAAATTAGAATGAATTAAAAATAAATAAATGGTAAGAACATATTTCACTTTGCACAATTGCACCCAAAGCATACCAACCAGCCATCAAAGCCTAGAGCAATAGCAAGCTCAGTTAGTCTCTCTGCATACATGAAAGCTGATTCCTTTGTTGAGAGTAGTGTTTTGGCAAGATTTCTCCCTTCTTCCCACTCCATTATGAGTGTCCATAGAACCTTATTTGAAAATGAAAGGAAAATAAAACAAATAATCTGTGTAAGAAACAAAGATAACACTCCGTAACTTTATTACTGAATTGTTGTTAAACACTTGTGAACACCCTTCAGGTTTAGGCAACGCAGTAATGCACATTACCTCAAAGCCGCAACATTCCTGGATAGTTCAACTTACATAGGCACTTCTTTCAGTTCAGCTTATACAATCTATTGAGCTTTACCGTACTCCACCTCCACAAGAAGGAACAAGGTCAGTTTGCAAGCTACGGTAGTACACAATAGAATCAATAAAACTGACTGAGAGGGCAAGACCCCAAACTTTAGTTGGTTTAGTTATAAACTTTTTTTTGCAACATGTTTAGTTATAAACTTAAAAATTTATATATCAAGGTATAGCCTAATAGGTAATTATTAAGTTACTAAAGCATTTCTCTTAACGGAACTTAGTGAAACAGATTCAGCATTTTGAGACTCTTCCACTTGAATTTCACTTTTCAATTTATTGTGTATATCCTACAATTATAGAACTTGCATTGTCAGGATCTTGAAGTGGATGATTATGCCAGAATCTGAAATTAACTAAAACTATCAACTTTATTATTCTAGTCATCATTATGGCAATTGATTCAAGTGATATCACAATTGAACTGCGCAACAAGTTACAGCTGCTCAAAAGTGAATCCCATGATAAACAATTTTAAGCAGTTGAATCGTTGAGTTTAAAACATACTGTAATACTGGCCCGAAAGTCACCGGCCGCATGGCCCGCTTCACCATGGTGGTGTCCGTGGTCTCTTCCTCCACCCATGGGTTGAGAGCGTATAGATGACAGAGATGACTAAGCGGATTTGGTACTGAAATTGGTAGCACTCGACTCGTCAGTGCCTGAAATTAATAATGCTCCAGTAGTCTATAGTATTGCTCCAGTAGCCGACTCGTCAAGATCGGCTAAACTAGCCACAAAAGGAGAAGCCACCGTCCACCTCAATCTGCCAGGCGCAGTCAATCCTCGTTCGCTGCAGCAGATATGATCAACTAGTTAGGGTTTTTTGCGGAGGAGTGAGGCGGCTTTGCTGGCAGAGGAGTGAGGCGGCTTTGCTGGCAGAGGAGTGAGGCGGCTGTGCTGGGCGAAGGCGGCTGTGTTGAATGGCTGGATGGAGGAGCGAGGGGGATCCAGGGACTGAGGCGGTGTGAGCAGGAGTGAGACGACAGGATAGGATATCACTAACCCTAAAAGTAATTACCTTTTGCTGCGGATCATTCATGCCCGCAGCGAATAATCCGAAAAATGTACACTATTAGCTGCGGTTCGGTACTAACCGCGGCAATTACATTCATTTTTTGAGTTATTGCTGCGGTTTCATCTATGACCGCAGCAAATGAGGAGCAGCAAATGAGCAAAAATCTAGTAGTGCATAACCAACCTCACATCATGCTCCTACTTTCTTGCATGCGTGAGGGTGTGGTTTAATAACCACATGCACACGTACATAATTACCATGTAGCTCCTAAATGCAATCCTAAATACATGGAAATAATTAACAAATTAAATTTGACTAAGTAAAACAAGTTTAAGAGTCCACATTCTCCCCCTTAAGCTTGTTTTACTTCTCCAACACTCTTCATTCCAATCTTGTCTCGCAGCTCAATGTATTTCTGCCTTCCAAGGGGTTTAGTTAGAATGTCTGCTAACTGCCCTTGTGTCTTGGTATGCTCAAGCTCAATATCCCCGTGTTCAACACACTCACGAATGAAGTGAAACTTGGTGTCAATGTGCTTACTCCTTTCATGGTAGACTGAATTTTTTGCTAAAGCAATTGCAGACTTGTTATCAACTTTGAGTAGTGGTTTCACCTGCTTATTCCTGTTCAGACTCTCTAACATTCTTTTGAGCCAAATACCTTGACAAGCACTCCCGGTTGCTGCTATATATTCAGCCTCACAGGATGATAAGGCCACAATCCTTTGCTTTTGTGACACCCATGTAATAGGACTCTCACCAAAGAAATAGATGATGTCAGTAGTACTCTTCCTATCATCAGTGTCAAAGATGCGAGGGTGAAGAGGGCAGCCGTTAATGGAGGTGGTGTTTAAAACCGGGGTTGTTGCTCCGTGACAGGAAGTTTCACAAAGCGGGAATAAACAAGGGTGTTTTGTCACTCCATTGAAAATTAGTCTTATTTAGGAGTTTAATAGTTCAAAGTCCTATTTTTAAGTCCTATTGAGGTCTATTTCCCTAGAACCTTTTACTATCACATACTCCGTATTACACATTTTCTCCAAATAATGTCTTATTAAATTCACACCCCTTAAGCTGAAATACTCAAAATATGACAATCACCATGATTTTATTGGCAAAAAATAAATAGCATTGTTTCAGGTCAACGAGATCAAATCCAACCTACAAGGCCTTCAAACCCTCCTCAAAAAATCTGGTAAAAGCATCCATCTGTGTAACTGGCAATGCCAAACCAATCTCAAGTGCACCTTCCTCATCCTTGCTTCCAGCGAGAGATATGGCCCCTGTTATATCTATTGATGGAATCTCCGACTTTTTAGGCTTTCCCCATCCAAAATCTAACCCATAATAGTCAAACTTGGGAGACGCAGCCACACTCAATGTACGGTCCATATTAATTGTGGAGAGCAGCGTATACCAATCTTCAGCTCCTTTCAAGACTCCATCTTTGTGGTTATTGTACAGCTGGCCACGTATGCTTTCTCCGATCACCGCCGCGGCCGCCGCCAACCCATCCTCGCCCACATGTTCCCTAACCTTCGCATATCCATAACAAACAGTGATGCAATTCCCGAAGTAGTTTTCAGGCAACGGCGGATCCAAACGCGCCCTACAATCCGCCATACAACCAAACAGCTCATCTTCATCATCATTAGCGTACACGCCCGCCACGTGGCGAGATCGTATCACGCAGTTCCACACGAACGAACACGTCACCGTGAATGAGGTTACATGTGCCAGCTCCGGACGTCGTGCCATGACGTGGCTCTTGAGCCTTTGGATGTCGCCACGTGGCAGTGTAAACGTGGAACGGACCTTGTTCTGGATCGTGGGAAGCAGGTCAACAAGGGTATCCTCGATTTTGACATTCTTTTGATTTTCCCAGAAAATGGCTTCTAATCTTCCTCTGCCTTCTTTGAGCTCTGTTCTATCGAAAAACGGTAGAGAATCAGGTTTGACTTTCTGGTCGCCGCCGCCGGAAAAGAAAGCCCATGTCTTCCAGAAACCGAAGATGGTTTTACCGTCACCGACGACGTGATGAAAAGTGACGCCGATGCAAAACCCGACGTTTGGGAATAGTGTTACTTGTAACGCTAACAGAGGGACTTGTGTAGATCCGTCAGATTTTCTTGACGTTGGGGGTAATCTCGGAACAAGCGGATGAGAATCCGCACAACTTTTAGCTCTATTAGACACAAGATGGTCAAAGTCGCCCTCGGTCAATGTGGATTCCGCCAAGACTAACGTCACAGAGTCGCCGTCAATGTAACGGATTTCCGGCAAGATGGAATTGTCAGATGAGACAATCAATTTTCCGGCGAAGGGACTATAGTGTTGAAGGGTTTTGGATAAAGAACTTTTCATTAGAGGAAAAACGGTATCTATAAAGTCGGTTTTTGATATGGGGTGGTGATGGAAGATGAGTCGGTGAACCGGGTTCATGTGCAACCAGAGTAGGTCGAGAAACGTGAGCGGAAGAGTCAGATTTGCTGCGGCTTCCGGCGGTGGTGCCACCGGAAAGTGACCCAGCACGGTGAGGTCAAGGGGTTGACTTCCGGTCATGAGGATTCTGCTTGGAGATAAATTTGAGGTGCGGCCTTTTGATCAGTAACCAAGCTGGATTGTAAGATTATACGGAGTACTACGTATGGCGTATGGGATATGAATTTTCTATTTAAAGGGAGAGGGATAGAGGATGCATAATAGTAGCAATTTAGAAATTGCTTTGAATAGAATAGAAGTAAAGACTTTTAATTTTTGAAAAAATGAATTTCATGTTTTAATTTCTTAAATATTATTCGGTCCGCCCTATATAATTTGACAAAATTCCTTTTTTGTCGTTCCAAAAAACTTAACAACTTTTATTTAAAGTAACAAATTACAGAGTAATAGTCAAAGTGATTTCTATCTCTCCTGTGTACAAATTTCAACCAACAACTTTTACTTTATTGACATATGTCAAGTCAACTTTGGTCAATTTTTTTAAATGAAGGAACTAGGGTGCCAAGTTAAAAATAATTTGATGGAAATTATCATCTTTAAATCTGATAATGTCAAAATAGATACTGAGTAAAAGATACTCCTATTTACGTAGCATTCCAGTCTAGCTGGTTATGAGGTTATCGTGTCTAGTGGGAGGGCTTGAGTTCAAAACCTGCTAGACATATAAGAGTTTGAAACTCAATAGAATGAGTTTCAGTCCTGATTACTCCAGCCACCAGCCTCCTTCCCTAGCCCCCATTGGAGTAGAAAAGACGTAGTATAAAATTAAAATATACTATATTCGTCCCTACATGATTGTCTCATTTTACTTTTTCAGTTCGTCACTCTAAAATTATTTCATGTCTTATTTAATAAAATCTGCGTGACTCTAAATCTTTTTTGTGTTATTTTTACTTTATCTCTGCATTATTAGTGGGATGAAGTATACTATGCAATAGTTGCATTTTGAAATATTCGGAATCTTGACGGGCCATATTTTTCAGCCTGCCAACTTCGACATGTCGGGTACGGCTCCTATGGACGAGCAATTGTTTGACATTTGACACCTATCCCTATCACTTTTTTTTTTCCTATCACTTTTTTTTATACATCTTTTTCAGTACGTAGCACATTATTACAATTAATTTCCTTTTATACTTTTCTGATTTTCTAGTCAGGGTAACGAGGGCTCTCAATCTTATATAAATGGATAAGTGGAAAATTATGAATATCATTTGCCACTTTGATCTGATCATATGATCATAAATGAAATTATAAAGAATAACGTTGAACCACTTTTTGGTACACACTATTTCATGCACGTTTCTGAGCAGCAATTTTATGTCTTTGAATAAAGAAAAAATAGTCTTAGAGGCCTTGGAACTTACATAAAAAAAATCAAATAAGCCCTTATATAAAAGGCTTTATCCAGCCGTTGTCATTTGAGGCAGTTTCTGGTGGAATTTTTTGATGAATTTTTTTAGCAATTTATTTATTAAGTCTAGTTTACTCATACCAAATTTAAGCTAAAACTTCAATCGGGACGGCATTCAAATGAATTCTTGAAGATAACTGTATGTTTAATTGTGACATTTCATCACTTTGTTTTTCGCTTCAATTCACCATGCCACTTTAATGAAAGTTTGATTAATATTTGAAAATATTTTTTCTGATATTTATTTACGTAATTTATTGCTAATTAATAATTCATATTTAGGATTTCTTTCCAAATAAGAGTAAAGAAATTGTAATGTAACAGCACATTATTTTCCCGTAATTAAATAGGAGTGAGTCCGTTACCACCATATTATTATCATCTAAAATCATATTGTCATCTTTTGGCGTTATCAATCATTAATATTACTTTATTTTAGACTCTCGTGATTATCGGTTTTTTCAAGCATATAATTAATTGTTCCTACTTATGAAAAAATATAGTACTTCTATTTTGAAACATCACATTACTATTACTCTTATTTAGGAAAATTTGTCCATCTTTGTGAAAAATTAAATTATTGTATTTAAAACCAGAATTATCCGATAGAGATATTAATTTCATACACAAGCTAAAGTTATGTTATTAAAGAGAAAAATGAAGGACAAATTTATTTAAAACACCAATGATTCATGTTACATATAAGTCGGTTCTGTTGGTTAATTTATAAAATTTAGAGAATCTCTAAATAAGGCATTAGAAATTATTATTTGTGTATTCGTCGAATTATTCATTCTCATGTTGTATTGTTTCTGCAATATTAAAATAACATAATATCTATCCAACATGATGCGGATATGTTAATCATTATTATATGCCCTTCTTAAATTATTGTTTGGTTAGTTCTATCATGTTCAAGAACTTCAAACATATACGGAGTAGATTTGAACCTAGAGATTCGGAGATTTAAGACAATAAATATGGGAAAACTCTGGAAATGAGATAGGGAGCATCGTACATATATAAGGTTACCAAAAAATGTATTTTAAATAAAAAGCACTACACTATAAATGGCTTAAGGCAACACTTCAAAAATGTTGCATTATACCCAAATGTGTTGACTTAGGAATCTATGGCAACACTTTTCCAAATTTCAAAGTGTTGAAATTTTGGCCGTTGCCATAGATGCCTATAGCAACAAATTAAAATGTGTTAGCAACTATTTTGGCTAGGGCAACATCATTCTCCAAAACTAAAGCAACGCATTCAAATGCAAATGCAATACTTTGATATTGCAACACTTGGAGCAACATTTGTTGATAAATTGCATTTTTTTTATTATTCTTTAAAAGCCACAAATTTAATAACATACAAGAATACATGAACTCGAACTTTTTTAGTTTATCTAATGACTAGGTCTCCAAATAAAATCTATCATCCATTCATACATAAGTATCATAACAATTACAACCCAAACAAAGGTTCAAAAAGCACATGTATGATTCTAAAAGCCAAAAACTACTCTAATGTTCCTGCTGCCAAAATGAGTGTCTGCATCAGCCTCCATAGAAGCACACATTATCAACACCTGGAAAAAAAAGTTAAGAAGTAAATAAATTCAAAAATGTCAACTATAATTCTTAACTCGCTTTTTTCCAACCTTGGTATTCTGTTGGCATTCTTTTAAATTTCTTGTAATTTGAATTGGCTTCTTCTGCCCTGCAGATTTCTTTTCGTTCCCTTTTCTGGACAACAATAGTTCAATTATGATTTGTTCACATGATTTTTCCTGAAATGGATTCATATATCTTCATCAAAAGGTAAATCCTTAAGATCATTTTAGTTTATTAAATATAGGCAAAAGATCAACATAAGGCAAAAATTATTGAGTAATTTTAGTAATTAAGTAATTAAATTAAATAAATTTATACCTTTGTCATTCATCGTACAAAGGATGGAGTTTTACAGCATCACAGAATCATTATAGTTTGTTATTCTAATTAAGATAATCCAATCTGGAAAGTAAATTTTTCTCCTTGGCATGATGCACCTCAGCACCTTTCTCCTTTTTCCTTTAGTTATGGATGATGTTGAACAATCTTCAAAGTGACAAACCTTCTCTTGGGTAGATTCTCTAATCCTATAAATATGCAAATCACTATTCAACTATAAAACATTAAACATCATATTATGCTTATAATGGCAAACGTATACCGGCAAAATTAAAGAACTTGGTAAAAGTACATGTTAAGATACACTTCAATTTCTTGGTCTTAGTATCAGATTTGGCTGGGCTTGATCACATTGAAGAGATCAGATTGTTTCATCATGTTGATACAAAGTAACTAAAATCAAGGGGCATCATCATTTTGATGCACAAGAACATAATCTATAACATAATTGTCATTTGTGAGCATCTTTCATCCTATTGTGTTAGAATTGGGAACCTAAATACCCCAATTTCTTTGTAATATATTGTCCAAAATTTACTAATCAAATATATAATTGAATTGATCAATATTAGCTTCAAAATATAAGCAAAGTGATGGACCCATTACATTTTATATTTTGAAAAAACACAATTAGTCTAAGTTAAAGCACACTCAAACAAGTTTAAAAAAGGAAAGACCAAATCGGGAACTTACTTTGAGGCTTTTGAATTAGTCCGTCTGCAAAATCGACACTTAAATTCACCTTTGGCTCTTGGACAATCAAAATACTTTCCTGCAATTCCAAATATTTTGTACGCCTCTAAGGGCGGGCATTCAAACCTCTGAAAGAGAAAATTTGACTTAATTGAAATCTGAAATTAACTTTCCACTTGAAAAATAAGCTGTAAAAACATAACACCGACCGAAATTTGAAATAATTTACACAAGAGGTAATTTGAGTTTGCACCCCATTTTATTGTTTAAATTGAACTTTGCACCCCGTTTTTATAAATCTTTGTTTTTGCACCCCAAACCCATGTGAAAAGACAAAAATGCCCTCAATAAGGAATATGTTGAAGGCCAACAAAATTGTGAATGGAGGGGCATTTTTGTCTTTTCATATTGAATTGGGGTGCAAAAACAAAGTTTTTAAAAAACGTGGTGCAAAGTTCAATATGTACAATAAAGTAGGGTGAAAACTCAAATTATCCCTTTACACAACCCTAACCTGACCGTGTGCTTCAAAGTAACCATACGAAAACGAAGATCTGTGTGATTTTGGGACTGGAGAGCGAATACAATGTTGTAGACTAGCGTTGTTAGCTAGAAAATAGGTAGCCGTAGAAGAAACAGATAAGAGGAGATGAAGGATACAAAGGGTTGGCGGCGGGTTGGCGGCCGCAGTATCACTGTACTCCAACTCCGAAATTTCCCAAAATGTTGAGAGGGAAAGGTTGATTGGGAAGAAATCATTAAAAGTTTACTTTCCCAGCTAAAATTTTATCAACCCATATTCTAATTTCTAACCAAACGAAATGATAAATTAAGAGGCCGTTTGGCAACACCGTTTTTTGGCTTATCATATTTATAAACCGAATATTTCACCACACATGTAACTTTTGTTTTCGCGTGTTGAATTGTGTAATAAGCAGAAAAAATAAGATTGTAGTTACTTTTTTGGCTGTATTGGCTGAAGTTACTGTAGATGACCATTTTTGGTATTTTTACATAAAAGTTTTTCTTTAATTTATTGATAAAATATATTTTAAAAATATTTTTTCTTAAATTAGCAGAATAAGCCAATGCAGTCACTTCAGCTAGAATTTCATAAATTTCAGTAGAATCAG